GAATAGCCCAGGAAGTAGTAAGATTTATAGAGAAATCTTCTGTCAGAGTCTAGAATGGCAGGAAAACAGTATGTAGGTAATGAGCCTGTAGAGACAGACAAAAACTCTTTCTCAAAATCAAAAAAAAAAAAAAAAAAATGCCTTCCCTCAGAAAAACCAAAGGCTAGTGGAAGAAGGGATTTGAGAATCATAGCGGTTGGTAAACTTGAAGTTAAGTGAAAAGACACATAATGCACAGACCCTTGAGAGACCATTGAAACCATGGGCGTCTCAGGTGACTTAGCAGAGATGGATTGATGTCCATGAACTGACAGGTGGCACACCAGTGAAAGCCAAAGACACAGCCGGTGCTCAGGGAAGAGTGGCTGCCACGCCCCCTGGACTCCTCCTAACTGCAGATGGCCTTCAGAAAGAAAAGTTGGAGGGCAGGGCAGGGGGATAAAAAGAGAGGCCTAAGTTAGCAGATCCTTTAACCAAAAGAAAGCCTTTCCAAGCAAAAGTGGATCTCCTTGATCTGACAAGTACCCATAGTAAGTATAGCTGAGTTCTGTTTTGTGGGAGTTTTTTGTTTTTGTTTTTGTTTTTGTTTTTGTTTTGTTTTGTTTTGTTTTGTTTTGTTTTTGTTTTTGTTTTTAATGGAATCATATTTTAAAAAAAACCACAGCTTTTTAACAAGTTAGTTTATATCTTAAGAAAATGCATATCCACTACAGTGGTTGTGAGCTGGTGCTTCAAAATTGAAGACACCATGAATAAGCATTGTGAGCAATTAAAACCCAACTTCTAGGTCCATGGTAGATCCAGCCATTCTGTTGAGGAGGAAAAGGCTTTTGGAAATTTATTTGTGTGGCCCTACCTCATCTTCGAAAAGCTTAAAGAAAAACGGTAAAAAAACAAAACAAGCCCTCCTCATGAGACAATCACTACAAGATCATCATCTCATTCAGCACTAGAAGCCAGAGAGAGAGGAGCGAGGGGGATGAGGAACCAGCTGTACTGGCACCTGACCCTGACTCCAGAGACAAGGAAGTCACTATTAGTGGCTTATATTGGAGAGCAGGTCCACATGCCTGCCACTTTCAAGCAAAGAGAGCTGCTGACATGTGTATCCTAGGTCTGCATAAAACTCATTCCCACTGCAGAAAACTTCTTTGCTTCTGGTTACGGGGCTGAAGTAGGTCACTCCGTATCCTTCTCTCTATGTGTGTCAGGAGCTTTTGTGTCCTTTCTGGGGCAGGGGAGGTTCTGTTTGCCCCAAAGTGCCCTTTAGAGGCCATGGATAGTTGACTCAAGCATGGTGGGGAGTGAAAGGTAAGGAGCTCCTTCTCTATTTCTCCCAAAGCCTAGGACCAGCTTCTCTCATCCCTTGTTGAACTATAATCCTTAGAAAGCAGACCCCAGACAACTGTGCCTTCATGAACCATTCTCTGTTCTACCTGTGTGCTGTGTCCTCAAAGCTTGAAACTGCATCTCTACTGTCAAACTTCGACAATTCAGAACTGTTGGGGT